GACATCTAAGACTGCTTAAAGCTCCAGGATGGAGTCTAAAATGAACAGCTGTACTTCTCTGACACAATGCCAGTCCCTGGAAGAAACCCATCTGTGTAAGTAAGAGAACTTTCTTGGAGGCTGGTCTGAAACAAGTCTATGAACCCTCCCAGGAGCAATGGACCACCACCAACCTCCCCATCTTTTTCCTCAAGGGCAAGGGACATTTTTTTGACCGTGCCTGCTCTAGCAGAGATATAAGGCAATATATATGTTTACTTAAAAATACAGGAAAGAAAACAGACAGAAACAAGACACTCCATAGTGTTTGCTTCTGTCCCTAAAAGGAAGATGAGAGAAGAAACTTGTGCCCACTGCTGGTCAGGTGGCTAGCTGCACTCCTCAAAGGGACATGGGTATTGTGGCAAAAAGAATAGAATGGCTATTTATGTAATCGAATCATCCCATTGTTGCTGTATGTAAATGTAGATCTCTCTTGCTTTCTTCCCTTTTTAGCCATCCTCTTTTTATGTTCATATTCTCTAAAATACAATCCATGTTTTGTAAAAACAAAAGTTTTTCTTGAGGAAGGCCACTATCCATGGAAGGTTTTCCCAACATCCACAAGAGTGCAAGTGCCAACAATATTCAGCTTTGAAACTTCCCCTTAAATTGAGAGAGGAAAGATGTTGTATGAAACTACAATAATTTCCTAAATTTAGTTTGGAGGGGTGATAGCCATCCAAGCGAGAAAACTACTGTGATTATTCTTGTCTGACTGCCTGCCTAACACAGGCCAGGGAACTACCCTGGGATTCCTGCATCAAGACCTTAATTTATGGATGAACTGAAGCATGACTTTTGGGAAAATACCTAGTCTTTAGTGCAAGCATCCTGCTAATGAAGAATGTAATGTTCTTATGGTTAATTACCCTCACTGTTAATATTTTTCATCTAAATACAAGTTTATGTTTTTCCTCCTAGACTCATTGTCTTTCAGTCACAGTGGGCTTGCCCAATTGTAATGTTAGTTAGTTTTTTTCCCCATGTGAATAATCCAAGCCCCCTCGACTTCCCTCCAAGAAAACAAATATGAGTGAAGGTTTTTTTCGCCCTGTATTACAGAATTTGCAGTTATCACAGCAGGTCCCGACTGTTGGTTTCAAGAGCTGATCATTTTCCCTGGGATACTATGAAATAACTCACTCCAGCAACACTTGACTAGTAGGCAGAGAATAACACTGCTCACTCATATAATACAGTTCTGACTCCCAGTTGATCCTTTGAATTGTTTTCTTGGGGCAGAGATGCAAAGGGAAAAAAGAATTGGTGTAATTATTCATACCACTGTGTTTCATTTTTATGTCTTGTTTTCCATTGTTTCCATAGAAAACCTTTATTATGACTTGGCACCTTGTAACAATAGTCATCTTATTCCAATTTATCAAGAATGAGTGGGTAAAGAGTGCCCCCTACTGTCCATTTCTGACCATTACTTCTCATGTATAATTTGTAAATCTTTACTAAACATAGGAATGGCGGGCTGTCACAGGCTATCTGTTTTATATCATCCCGTTGCTCACCTGATCAAGCTCCTAAGATCTAGTTTGGCTGTTTGGTCCCTCTAGTCCTGTTGCTAGTCTGAAGCACCTCATCCTATGATGGTTAAAGGACTTCTTTATCCAGCAAGTCCAAGAGCCCTTTTGCAGGTGATGAAGTCATACAGTCCCTTCCATAAATCAGGCATGTTTCATCTTTCACGTGCTTGGGTAGATAAAGGCTGCCTGTATATTTTGCCTGAGAAATAAATCTTTATGACTAACTAAGCCTTGTAATTCTGAGTGGTGTAATTAATTGATCAGAGCAGCACAGATGTGATTTTACACAAAAGCTGCTGTGCTGTCTGCCTTGCATATTGTATAGTAAGGGGCCAAATTCAGTTGGCATGCACAGAGCTCCATGGTACTGAAATGCTGCACTTGCATCGGGGTGGATAAGAGTGTAGTATAGCCTGTGTAGTGAGCAGTGGGAGTTGATAGTAGACTCCTCCACTCCAGTCTCATGCTTGTCTTTTCCATTCCCATTTGTGTTCACATAAGGTTGCAGCTAAGCCATTTTGCTTCTTCCTCTAGTCAGCCATCACAGTAAGTGAATGCAGAAAGGGGGGGGGGGAGGGAGGCGGGGCAGGGAGCGGCTCTTACCACACTGGCTAGTGAGGTGCAGCAGCTTCCCCAAACCAAGAAGAGGAAATGAGGAAAATGGGTTTAGATTAAGGGAGAACTGCATGGATAGATGCATATAGGGAAAAGAGAGAGGAAAAACCTTGAGAACGTGGAGTAAGGGCACAGCAATTTCTTTGGAAATGGAATATTTAGTACCTCAGTAGTTGCATTCACCTACCCCAAGAGAATCCATGTGCATTTAGCCATATCCTTTGAAGAGCAGAGCTCCTCATATATAGTTACCATTATCAGAGATTATGGTATGCTACAGTAATGTCATGTCCACTCCACCTGATTGTCAGGATTTTGGGATGTGTGCAAGAGAGAAAGAGAGAACAAGGATAAGCACCTAGTTGGTGCTCATCATCCCCAGATGCTGGAACACATCAGCAGAACTTGAGGTCAGGAAAACAGACCTTACGATGACAGGCTGATCTATGAGGATCTTTAGCCTGGAAAAGCGCAGGCTCAGGGGTGATCTGATGGCCACCTGTAAGTTTATCAGGGGTGACCACCAGGATCTGGGGGAACGTTTGTTCACCAGAGCGCCCCAAGGGATGACGAGGTTGAATGGTTATAAACTACTACAAGACCGTTTCAGGCTGGACATAAGGAAGAATTTCTTTACTGTCTGAGCCCCCAAGGTCTGGAACAGCCTGCCATCAGAGGTGGTTCAAGCACCTACATTGAACACCTTCAAGAGAAAATTGGATGCTTATCTTGCTAGGATCCTATGACCCCAGCTGACTTCCTGCCCTTTGGGCAGGGGGCTGGACTCGATGATCTTCCAAGGTCCCTTCCAGCCCTAATGTCTATGAAATCTGTGAAACTTGTAAAATGATACTCAGCACTTTGATACCCAGTATCGCCACTGGCTCAGGAAAGAATTACAGCCAAGCCAAGCCTTGTAGTACCAGTACCAGAGCCAGCAGCTTGGAGTTGGTTTCCCATCCTCTACTCTACTCCATGCAGTTAGTATGAAAGCAAAGCAGATCTTTGACCCTTCCCTCCCTGGAGAATATGGAGAAGGGGCACAGTAATTTTGTTGCCAGTAGAAGGTTTGGTAGCTAAATAGCAGGCTTCAGGCACCTCAAAAGGATCCATGTACATTTAGCCTGACCCTGTAAAGAGCAGAGCTCCTTGCGTGCACTGCTGTGCAGCTACCAAGCTGCATTCACTCATGAACCTTCTACCCCTGAGACAAGACCACATATATGGGAATGAGTCTTTGCAGGGGCCTGCAGAAAACACGCACAGAGAGCCATGCAGTGGTGTGGTTACAGAAAACAAAGCTGCAGGGGGCAAATTCTATGAAAAATGGAAATGTTCTCTCAAGGGTCATTAGTCAAATATCACTGGCCACAAATCACAGTATTTTCAGCTTTGAGGTTTCGGGTTTTCAAACAGCAACAACAAAATGGATTTCTTTTTCTGAAGGAAAGAGGACACACAAAAATGATTTTCACTTCATCAAACTCCCACAACCACCACCGCCAGTTTTCCATAATGGATGGGTTTTGACCTGCCTTAGGAACTACCAAGAAAATGCCAGAAGAGAACTTGTGCTCCTAGACCAAGAGTCCTCTCTGTGGCTTTGCAATCCTTCTTTTTGCCAGCAAGGAGGGAGATGGTTCTTTCTCTGATCAGACCTATACATTGTGGGTTAAGTCCAGACAGCAATGTATTTGGGGACATCCTATTCTAATATATATTCCAAACAGATTTTTCTGGTCAGCCCAGTCACTTAAACTGAAGGCCCCTGGTTGCTTTCCTACTTACGGATGGCAGTGCCCGATATTACTGCAATGTAGAGTCATATGTTATCAGAGAGATTTTTTAGCAGACGCAACTATAGGCATCAACTTTGCTCAACAAGCCAAGCTGTGCTTTGGAAGGTAAAAAAAAAATGCACTTAACTTACCACTGAAGAGGATTCATTGTGTTTACTTCATTATCATTGTGCTGTCAAATTTTGTTTTCTGTTACAGTATCTTTGTATTCATGTTACTCCTGTAATCACAGGCTCTGGAATTAGTACTTTTAAATTGATCCTAACATAGTTTATTTTCTTTGTCAAAAATGCCTTTCAAATTAAAATAAGCTGGCAAAACCTAGATCTACTTAAGAAATGCTTTGGAGGACAAGGAAAGTTCCTACTGTATAATTATATTTTCAGTCTCCTGTTGGTGGGGAAAAAAGGCCTTCCCATAATCTGCTCCATTTCCCATCCATTGTTAAGTCCCAGAGTCTCCATGCAACAGACAAACAAACAAGGAAAAAAGCCTAATTGGTTGCTAAGGGTCTATTTTTTACAAACTTGAAACTGCTTCACAGCTTATGCACTTCGTTGACTCAGGCAGTATCTCTGTGCTATAGTAACTGGGTAGACACATGGCCAGGTAGGACACAGATCCCCTGGCTCACATGCAGTAGGGGTTATGCATTGTGAGTGCTGAGACAAGTGTACTGTACTGTTTCAGTTATATGTCAACCCCAAATACTCAAATTCAGTTTTAGAAAAAATCTGCTTTTCTCTGAATATAAATCAATAGGTACAGTTAAAAATCTTGAAATGATGTTGCCATTTATACCAGCCCAGTGACCTGGCATGACTGAGTGGACATTTGACATTCTGGAGTTGATGCTCTCCAATATCATTTTTTTTTCCTTCAGAGATCATCCTCTGGTCTGAGCCCCCTCATTCTCAGGGGTTTGTCTAGTTCCTAGCTTGATGTGACATATCTAAGTGACAAGTGAGCTGCATGCGTTTTTTCACATGCGGCTTGCACTGTTTTTCAGATGTACATCACAAGCACAATTAAAACAAAGAGCAGCAGGCTAGCAAAACCTGTCCTGTGTCTGGGAACCCTCTGTGCTGCCTTCCTGACTGGGCTAAATCGCGTTTCTGAGTATCGAAACCACTGTTCGGATGTGATTGCAGGCTTCATCCTGGGAAGTGCGGTGGCTTTGTTTCTGGTAAGCCATCAGTCCCTACCCCTCTCCATCGCCACCCAATCCAAAGACAACTTAACATTAAAAAAAAATCTTGTATTATTCTCTTGTTGCCTATCACAGCTAACTAATCAAGCTGCCAGCAATTACTTCTAATGTAATCTATTTGGATTTATCTTCTAAGCATATCCTAAAATGAAGTCAGGCTGATATGAATTAATTAATAAGGTTAATGCAATGACATCCTGGTATCTACACAATTATTTTAGTTACTGTACAGGGCCTTCCTGGTGCTGTCCTGGGGAAGAGCTTTTAAGATGCAGTAAAATGCAGCTGATGTCAGAAAGGAGCCTGACTTCTCTAAATGTGAGAACCATGGCACCCACATTTCACAAGCTTCATTGGCTGCCTGTTGCATGACAAATGTGGGATTCAAGAGCTTACCCTTGGTATATAAGGCTCTAAACAAAGGGCCATTTTGGTACAGGGCAGGCATGAAACAAGTGCAGTAGAAATCAGGATCAGACAAAGACTGACTTCCTGTCATACCACTTGGAGACAAGGATTGCTCATGCTCACCCCTTCTCCCAGGGGATGGCATTGGATGATCAAGAGTGCCAGCCAGGTCCTTCCAAACAAAGGCCCTGGTATCAACCGTGCTTACCGAGGCCACTACTGGCACCTGTCCCTTGCTTCCTGCTGTGCATAGCAGGGTATTGGTGCTGTGCTTGGAGATGGTTTGCAAGGTCTTTTTTCTCTCTTTCTTGAGATCACTTCAGGTCACTTCAGATGGTTTTAATGAGAAATGTGCCTGGTTCCCTTTTAATGAAACACCCAATATCCATTGCCTTTGACTACTTGGGAATAAATGTGGATGCTGCTCCTGGGCCTGCTGAAAGCTCTCAAACAGTAATTCCAGAGAAACATCCTTTCAGAAATAGAGTCCATACTAACAAATGTGCAAGCATCCCATATCTTGGGAGCAGACAGGAGGGTCCTTCCCAAGGCAGGGTACTTGTAATTTCTTTGTGTTAGGAAGGGCATTATAGAGCCTGGTCATCCATGAGCTATCCAGACACTTTTGATGGAACAGGAGGCCAGATTCAGCCTTCAGTTGCTCAGACTTACTCCTTTTGGGAATCACAGCCACATGTCTTGAGGCAGTGATGCTCGGCCCTTGCCTCACTACAAAGTTCTGCTATCAGCCTTACGTTGGCGATGGATGTGAAGAGCTCACATCCCTGTAGCTAATGTGGCTTACAAGTCAACCTCTAGTGTGGTTCAACTCTGCTGGCAGATAGTGTCTTCTGTTACGAGAGCTTCTGTGTTTTGGGCGAGCTGGTGTAGCTTGGGTGGACCAAAAACTACTTCTGCCAATAAAGCTATGTAAATGCCAGGGGATGCATCGCTCCTTTAATGAAGATGAGCCTCATCAGGCATTGGTGTTAATCAAAGAACCGTGGCACCATAAGCTTCCTGAAGTGAATAAGGGCAGTTATATTCCTGTTCAAGAAGACTCCTAAACATGTATGTAGTTGCAGGTTTTGCATTATTCGTAATTCGTAATTCAGGGAAAATATGCCCAATGCACACAGTAAAAGAAAAAAAGTGAAAAGCTGCGGGTGCCAAGTTAAAGAGCCACTTGTAGCTTGGGAGCTGTGGACCAAACAACAGTGTCTTAAGGTAATATTTGACCTAGGGAATACAGTGCCAATTGCAGTCGGTGGTTCTAAAAGAATACAGCACTTATAATCAAGGCTTCTCTTCTCTGAGAGAGAATAGAATAAGAATGGCTCGTGCCTACAGGGTACAGTTACACTGGGTTACTAAGGTAAGCCCGTACTCACAGCTGTGTCAGTCACACTGCTAGTTGTCCAGCACTGGGACAGAGATGACCTTGAGCCAAATCCTCAGATCCAGCCACATCCCAAAATCTGCAAGAGTTTTTAACAGTACCAAGTTAATGGACAGGGATGGAGATTCTTTTATAGTGAGGTTCTAGCTAATTATTCCACGTGGGCAGCCTATGCTGACCTCTTTTGTTTTGTTTTTTTTTTTCCCCCCACATCATGTAGGGAATATGTGTTGTCCATAACTTTAGAGGAACACATGGAGCTCCTTCTAAACCGAAGCCTGAAGACCCACGAGGAGTTCCCCTCATGGCGTTTCCCAGGGTGGAAAGTCCTCTGGAGACGTTGAGTGCCCAGGTAGTGTAAATTACTGCATTACAGCCTTCAGAAAAGCTGTCAGTCACAGCTGGGTAAAAACTGGTTTAACACTACAGTTCAAACATGTAAAATGTACAGCCCTGGTACAGCTCTACCAGCAGAAAAGGGAGCAGCACTGGGTGAGTTGAGCTCAGATACATGTAGCACTGACATAGCCTGAAATCCCAGAGTTGTAAATGTTCTGCTGCCAGAGACATGTCTCTCTAAATGGAGAGGCAAGAGTTTGCATGGGCAGTGCCTTTGCACATGCTTCTTCAGAAGTGAATTTTCAGGTGTTTTTCCTCGCATGTTGGAACAGAATACTGGGTAGGGAGGGAGGTTGGATAATCCAGTCTAACTTTGAGGCTTTCTTGGTGCTGTCTCTCTCTCCCTAAGGACTAACACTAGTGCATGTGCATGTAATGCAGAGCAGAGACTTTTAGGCGCAGACAGAAGTGCAGCTCCCCGCTGTAATTGAGAATGCTTTGCAGGAAGCGTTCTGAGTTGCAATGATTCCCTGAACCAAACAGAAGTTCACTGTTGTTTCCAGGGGGGAGGGATGTAGCTGCTGGCTGCCAGTAGCAATGGTCCCTCTTCCCTGCCAGCTCCCTGCCATTTTTTCAGAATGGGAGAGTGAAGGGATCAGAGAGAGCTCATTCTAGGGGTTCCCCAGCCAGTGCTGGAGGGTGGGATGGGTGAATTGGAGCCCACCCCCACCACACACCTTGGGAGGCTCCAGTACACCCACCCCACCCCTAATGGGGACTGAAAAAGCCCCAGACTGAATGCCCTCTGCTCTTGTTCCTCCTTCCCATTCTGAAAACAGCTACAGACTGGGAGACAGGGCAGACATACGTTACAGAAGATGCTCTGTTTTGAAATGTCTTCATTTGTTCACACTCATGCAATGAAGGTTAAATTTTTCATCTGACTGGCCATTTCTTAAGCAGTCTGCAGCCATGCACTTGTGTTTTATTGTGGCTTTAGGCCCCTTTCTGTGGCCAGATCAGGTAAAAATTATCACTTCTGTGTGCACTATGTGGCTCTTGGCATGCTCAGCAATTCAATAATAGTAATAACTAATAAATTAATAAGTAATGTAAGTAATAAAAAATACCTGTTCGCTAACACAGCAGCAGAAAAGCACCATACTTTTACTTTGTTTGCAACCTAATAAGAGACTAGTGGGACAAATTTTCCCATTTATATCCACCTGGTCCTATTATATTTCACTGGATTGTACCAGGGTAAGTGAGATGATTTAACACAGCAATTTCAAGGCAGAATATGTGCTGTTGACTAGGAAAGTGCAGTTTATTAATTAATTTCTTCTGTGCTGCCTCGTGTACAGGTGTAAAATATACTTTCCACAGAGTTCCTGTTTAAGACATCATAGCACCTAAAAAACATCACTGCACTCCACAGATATGAATTTATACAGGGAGATTTGAGCTATTTAGAAAATGAAGGGTTTATGTTTTTTGGGGATATTTTTTTTTTCCTGTGGAAACTTTTTTTCAAATTAACTGAAAACAATTTTTGAGGCTTGGGTTTTCAGCTTTCATTGAAAAATCCAAAAGTATTAGAGGAAAGGTAACACTTCTTGTGACAGTTCTGTTTTAATAAAATTGCAAGTATCAATTCAACAAAAGTTTTTATGGAATTTTTTCAGCCAGCTCTGACAGGTGGTGGGAGGGAGGAGGGGTGTAGAAAAATTGCTTCCAGCTTGTAAAATGATACATATGACTACAAAAGCCAGATATTCAGGTTTGTTTCAGCATTCATACTGCACCAGAAGAAAGTCCCCATTGGTACTCACATTCACAGTACATGAGACATCTATAATGTTTGTCTTTCCACAAAGGGAAAAACATCTGTGGCACTTCGACATTTGTGGCATTAATACCATAAGCCAAAATCTCTTTCCAGGGTTCAAGAATAAGGTCTGGTCCAAAGCCCAGAGAAGTCAGTGAACCTCTCTCCACTGATGTCAGTGGGCTCTGGATTAGTCTTGGAATAAGAAAACACATACAGCATGCATGAAAACACAGAAAATGTAGCTTTACTCTGAACCTATTCTATGTAGCTGTGGGAGTGGGCACTCATTAGAGTTTCCCCAAATTATGAGGGTTTCTACAGAGGGTCCCACATCTTTTCTTGTGCCTCTCAAATATCACAGTCATGAAATGGCCCATCCCCTCAGTGTAACAGTGCAAGGTGTTAATTGGCAGCTGACTGTGTCCATACACCATGGGCGTGTCTACATGTGTGCATTTACTGCGCAGTAACCGAAATTACTGCACAGTATGAGTGCACATCTACACATGCACATCCATACTGTGCAGTAAATATGGAAGCTTATGCTGACTTAAGCATAAATTTGATACCTGCATCATGCAGGTATCTAATTTATACCCAATTAGTTACTGCACAGTAATGCACTTGTAGATGCCTTACTGTGTAGTAACACTGTGTGTGTGGACTGACTTGGGACTAACTTTAGTCCCAAGTCTGTCCACACACACTGTTAATGCACTTCAATGCCTGCATGTGTAAACGGTGGCCTATTACCACTTACTGCACAGTAAATTTAAGAGGGCATAAATGCACATGGAGACATGCCCAGTGTCTACCTCTCCATTGTTCCATGACTGGTTATTGTTGCACTGTTTGCCTGTATGGGATATTGTTTGTTCGTGAAGTAAACTCTAAAGCTGAAAACCACTTTAGTGTGATTCAGCTAAGGAGACCTGACATGCCTTCTTTTTCTCCATGTTCAACCATGTGCAACATTTGTCATGGGGAGCCTGCTCCCTTTTCTCCAGCATTCTGCTCACACAAAAGCAAAATGGCTTAGACCTCACTTTACATCACAATAATGAGCAATGCATCTCAATTAATACACTTTGTAGATGCACTGGCATGTGTCCATGGACAGAGAGCCTGGTCCACTTGATGAGGAAAGGAGTATTTTCCCTGAGGCTGTTTGTTACCCCGTGGCACCAAGGTTCTCAAGAGCAGCAGTGAGTGTGTATCGCTCAGTTCTGCAGTGCCCATACAGGACCTGATTTTCAAAGGGTCAATGCCCTCCATGTTCTGAAAAGTAGGCCCCTTAAAGGTGCCATAAGTTGGGTACCTGCAAAATTGAGACAACTAGAATCAATAATCTCTCCTGGAAATCTTGGCCTGAGTTAAAAGCAAGCTACAATAGTCTTTGCTGTGACCTCTTCCCTCTAAGCCCTTAATTATTGGGGGGAGCTCATTTTTACAGCTCCTAGTTCCCATATAAAGACTTTCCAAGGTTCTCAAATATTTAGACACTTCCTTAAAGATGTGCCAGAAATATTCATGTATTTGCATTTTCCTTCCTATAGAACCACTCTGCCTCTATGACTGAAGTAACCTGAGATGGAAGGTGGCGACAGAAGCTATTTTTATTACCCTCCAGTACAATACTCCAAGACACACAGTTACTAAATGTCAGACTGTGACGACCAGTATTATGTTATGTCTAGTTAGAGGCTGATGTTTTTGTACATTTTTTGTATGAGGAAGTGATGTAGCTTGCCCTGATTTTTTGTCAGCTTTAATATATTTATGCCAGAATTTAAAAACAAAAACTACAAAAACTACAAAAAAAAACCCAAACCCTTTTCTTGTTTAAAGTGTGCACTGAGGAACTACATCTATGGAATTGTTGATGTTATGTGATATTTGTACACAAACATTTTTTTTTGGTTTTATATACATTGAAATAAAAATAATTCTAATAATTCCCTTTTACCTTTTGTTACCATAAGGAATGCTTTTGACAAAGGGCCAGATTCTGGTCTCAGCAGCCTCGGTGTAAATCAGAAAAAACTGCCTAAATTTACTCCAGATCTGAGCAACTGTGATCAGGAATCTAGCCTAAAATTCCTAACAGCATTCAGCTTCAGTTCAGCAAGTTACTTAAGTGAGTGACTGGTCACAGTCTGTTTTGTTGGACTATTCAGAAACTTCAAATTAAGCATGTCCTCAAGTACCTTGCTAAACCAAGGGGTGGGTGAGTGGGTTAGGAAAGCCAGAGGATTGTGCTATTTATTCAAGAATGACAAATGATATGGTCAGTGGTTTTTTGTTTAGTTTTTAATGGACTTTGTGATGAGGACATGTTGGATGCTTAGAAAATACTACATTATTCTATAATAATGGCTGTAAATGCTACAGTTGACAACAGCACTTTCAAATCCTGAACTCAGAAACAGCTTCTGCATGAGGTTACGATAGAAAGAGATGTTAAGATGTATGAGGCCATTACTATGGATTTTTGTAGTATTTCTGTCACATAAATGTTTCATGATTGCATTATAAGGTCAAAACGTGAACTTGAGGCTGTGTCATGCTTACAACTGGTGCCAATGAGACAACGAGGAGTAACACCACTAACAACCTTAATGGAATTATGTAGGATTCAGACTGGTGTGTCCAAGGAGTCAGGGGGCCTTCATGGTCTACCTTGGTTTAGGTGCCCAGATTTCATTGTAGGGCTCCAGTGAGTCATAGAAGTAACTGGCACGGTCTGCAATAGCTAAATCCACATTTTTGTAAATCATATCATACAGAGTTTATATCAAAACTGCTATTTTACAGTTTGCACAGTATTGTTAAAAAAAATTAAAATGAAATGGGGGGCGGGGAGGGATTGGGCAATGAAACGCAATGATGACCATTTATGACGTATAGAACCGGAGCAAGTTTCATTTCATGGCTTTTACTTGTTTCTAGGGAATTTCCGCATCTCATTCTTCTAGCATGGTGATATCTGATGTGTGTCTCCTTTAAAAAATGGAGCCTCTGTCTGTACTTTTACTGGAATGTTTACCTGACACTTCCATGTTGGTTCTTCTTGGCTCTTTTTGTATATTTTTTTTCCAAAACAGATGAAAAAAAATTATCACAAAAAATTGCATCCAGGATTCTGTCATTTGTTTGTGACCTGGAGAAATCTGGGGGATACTCTTTGTGTCTTGCTTTACAGTGATACAACAGAACAACTCTGAGTGTCTTCCTGGGGCTCTGGTATTTTATAGTCTTGGGCATGGGAGAACATGGAAACTAGAATTGGTATGTGAGCCTGAGTGACCACAGATGGGACCCTCAGTGGCGCTCAACCTTCCCTTTTATGGCTTTATCCAATGCCTGTTTAAATCAGAAGGTGAATCTCCATTGAACTGATCTGGCTTTGAATAAGGCTTTACATTACTGTACTAAGAACATGGTTCATTACCAAAGGTTGCTGGCAGTGGGTACTGTCTCCCACTGGTATCAGAAAATAGTTTTGCTGATCTTGTGAGTGCCAGCCATTTCCGTAGTCTGACCAGCCTCATCCAGTGATTGAAAAGTCATTTGTTTTGGGGGGGTTTTCCAAGGAACAGAGGAGCATCCAGAGGACTGCATGTCTGCCAACCATTTTCCTAGTGCCGGCATATTTTAGTTGCCAGCTCTTCCATATTTAGGGTCTACCTGCACTAGTGGGAATTCTTCTACTGCTGCTTCTCTGACCCAGATGAACAGAGAGAGGTTCATCCCTGATATGCTTGGGTTAAGCTAGAGGTGTAGCTAGGCAGTTCTGCACCCTAGGCAGTGGTGTCACACGGGGCAGTGGTGGAGGCTGGCATAGGTATAGCAGAGAAAACCAGGCATTAATGCAGAAGTTGCTGCCAAAATGTGCATTGAGCAGTAATTGAAAAGCTGAAATTCTGCATCAAAAAAAGGAGGTCTGAGGGTTAATTGACACCTCCTCCTGAAGCAACGGCTTCCCTGGGAGTGAACCTCCCGGCAACGCCAACCCTGTGGCTGCTGCTCTGCCCTCCCTGTTCATAATGTGCCTAGCACTGGACCTGGCTGCAAGAGCCACTGTATGGAAGGTGCAGAGTGGGGAGGGCAGGGGAATGAGGTGTTCCCCCAGCTACGTTCTGGCACCCCCGTTTAGGCAGCACACAAGGTGCAAGCCCTGCTCACTACTGGCTAGAGCTCTTTTGGCAAATATCACATTTTCCCACAGCAAATTCATTTTTTTTCAAAGGGCGTTTCCAGTCAGGAAATCACTGCAACAGAAAATCCACAAACCACTCTAATTAGTACATCCAAAGGCCACTTGTCTACTCTCAACTTGTGGAGCTGCACATGCAATGTGTGTGTAACATTCAACATTTTCTTAATATAGATGAAACTTAGTTGATGTCTTGATGGCTAATGGTTTACTTCCATCTAGCAGGGTGAGATGAAGAAAAATCTATACTTCTGCCTGGCGAAGAAACCACACCATGACTGGTAATGGGCACATAGACTGATTTAAATACAGTTTAAACCTGGAGTAGACAGACATAAAAGCCTGTTAAATCACTTTAAAATTGCTTCGAACAAGTCAGAATTGTACTTGGGACATCAAGTACTCTTCTGTAATAGTTTACTGTGAAACAGTTGTGTTATGTGTGGATGCCAAGCTTGCAGTGACTTGGGTCTAGCTGTCCCCCAGGCATCCCACACTTCATCACTCATCACCCCCATTTCCTCCACCACTGTACATGGCTGGAACTCTGCTGCTTGTTTTTTCCCCCTTTGTTGGAACTTTTTATCAATGAGGTCCCTTGCACTGCTATCTTTCTAACAACCAGCCCCTCATCACGCACTCCACAACCCCTGGGAGCCCAAAAACATAGGTCTAAGCATTTTCTCCCCCTCTTAGATACCCCAAGTCAAGCAAGCACACTGCAGAGTCCAGTCAAGTACAGGTAACTGAACTTTATTGAACTCATGTTTAGGAGAGAAGAGAAAGAAAAGTACAAACACTGCCAGCCACAAGTCACCAAACCATTCAGACCCTCCCAAAGCATAGGTGCAGGGCACTGCTTATGTGGACACCTCTGGCCTCCAACAATTATGAACCAGTTCCCAATCAGCAACATTTTGAAAAGGTCCACTTGTGATATATATTCACATTCATTGTGAACACATGTCCATTGTCAGAGCATGGACATGGATAGATACCCCAGATACACATACTGACTAGCTTGATCTCTTACTACAGGGAAGGTTGCACAGACCCAGATTTTTAAGGGAATTTAAAGGTATTTTGGCACTGCTCCACTGAGTCTCCAGACTCTCTCTGCACTGAAGACAGACACTTCTAGGAATCTGGCCATGAAGGAATTAAGCAGCTTCATTTAATTTTCAAGAGACTTAGGGCCAGGTTTTAAAGGTATTTAGATGCCTAATCTGCATTTATTGAATGGGATCTTAGGGCCTAAATACCTGTAAACATATAGGCTTTAGACATGATTTGCAAAAGATCTGAAGTTCCCACGTACTTGAAATTATGGAAGTTGGGCCCTTTGTTTCTTGTTTTGATGTCAACTTACATGAGGAGCCAGAAATAAAATGGTACCACTTTGCCCTTGAGTCAAACCCACAAGCACTATGTACCGAAAATGTTCTCAGTCAGACAGGTAGCTCACCTGAGTGTCTCGTGCTATAGGACGTGTACATTACTATGTTTTTAAAAGACAGTTGGATAAAATGACAATTGTTTTTAATTACTTGGGTGGTGAGTAGTAACATGGAGCTCTTTTCATTGGCGATCAGTCAGTGCATCATTTTTGTGTAGTATCATACTCACAGCTGGTGGGCGCATCTCCATTAACTTTCAAGGAGCTATGCATATCTGCAGCTGGGAGACTTTAATTTGCAAGGTACTTTCAAACATATTTAAGTCAATGGGTTACCTTAAAGAATGAAATGACCCTTTAATTCATGTGCTTACTGGTGTGGAGACTGGCAGCATCTCTGCTGACATTTTCCTAGCAAGACCTTGTCTTTCAGCTTATGTGTTGATCAAAAAATATGTATAATGATTGTAAGAATGCAGATACAATCAATATATGTGGCAACAGGGAGAAAACTAGCAGATGTTAAACTGTAGTGGACAAATTTTTTTTCTAGTACTTATTTCTAAGTTCTAGAATTTTTACTAAGTGTTTGTATTTTTGGAAAATGGGACATGTCACTAATAGCAGAGTTCAGTGTTTATGCTGCACCTCTCTTCTCACATGTCTAAGGCCATACAAAACTTTTGACAGTATTTCCCCAAACCAAGTAAAATAAGTCTGAAACATGATGTTACTAAAAGGCACAAATGTGGCTTAGCAAATCTGGGCCAAGTTCCAGATGAACTCAGATGAAGCCTGGTTTTAGTGTACACATCTACATACTTTGCATAATTTCTACACATATTTGCATAATTTCACCACTTCTAAAAATATGGGTTTGCTCATAGGAAAACAGCTTCGGGTAGTGCTCATCATAGCTGCAAACCTGGAAAAGTGTTGCATGAAACTTTACAAAAAGAAGTCACCTGCCTCTCATGTCACAGATCTGTGACAATTGCTGAATGTATTGTAGCTAGAGATATGCATGGACTTGCTCCAACTGTTATTGATTTACTAGATGGTAACTGGCCAGGTGGCAGCATTGCTGAGAAAAGATCTTGGGATTCTTGTGGATCACTAACTTGATATGAGTTACCAATGTGATACAATTGTAAAAAAAGCAAGTGCAATTTTGGGCTACATCAACAGCAGTATTAAATGTAAGACATGGCAAGTGATAGTGCCACTCTGCTTGGTGCTGGTTGGGCCTCATCTAAAGTATTGCATGCAGTTCTATGCTCCACACTTATAAGGATGTGAAATTAGAGAAAGTCCACACTTAGGTGACAAAACCAATCAAGGGGCTAGAAGGCAAACATCACTAGGAAAGTTGAAAGAACTGTGCTTGCAGAAAAGGCCATTAAGGGGACATGATTTCATAGACATTAGGGCTGGAAGGGACCTCGGAAGATCATCGAGTCCAGCTGCCTGCTCCAGGGGCAGGAAGTCAGCAGAGGTCATAGGATCCCAGCAAGATAAACATCCAAATTTCTCTTGAAGGCGTTCAAAGTAGGTGCTTGAACCACCTCCAGTGGCAGTCTATTCCAAACCCTGGGGGCTTGGACAGTAAAGAACTTCTTCCTTACGTCCAGCCTGAAACGGTTTCGCAGTAGTTTATAACCATTCGACCTCATCATCCCTTGGGGCGCTCTGGTGAATAAATGTTCCCCCAGATCCTGGTGGTCACCGCTGATAAACTTATCGGTGGCCATCAGATCACCCCTGAGCCTGCGCTTTTCCAGACTAAAGAGCCCCATGGCTCTCAGCCTGTTGTCGTAAGGTCTGTTTTCCTGACCTCTGATCATGTGCGTGGCTCTTCTCTGGACTCTCTCAAGCTTCTCCACATCCTTTTTGAATTGTGGAGCCCAAAACTGGACGCAGTACTCCAGCTGCAGCCTCACCAAGGCCAAGTACAGGGGGAGAATGATGTTCCGGGATTTGCTTGAGAAGCATCTATGGATGCAAGCCAGCATTTTGGTCACTTTACTAGCCGCAGCATCACACTGAAGGCTCACGTTCATCTTGTAGTTAATCATGACCCCCAAGTCCTTTTCATCCGTAGTGCTAGCCAGCGTAGCACTGCCAAGCCCATAAGGATGTTGCGGGTTTTTCCTCCCAAGGTGGAGAACCTTGCATTTTTCAGTGTTGAACACCATCAGGTTCTCGTCCGCCCATTTCCTGAGCCGGTCAAGGTCATCTTGGATCACTCGCCTGTCCTCAGGCATGGATGCTTTACCCCAAAGTTTGGTGTCATTGGCGAACTTGACCAGTCCACTTCTGATACCAATGTCCACATCATTAATGAAGATGTTGAATAGTGTCAGCCCAAGGACAGAGCCTTGAGGGACTCCACAGGTCACAGCACAACACAACGATTGACTTCTGTCAACCACCACCGTCTGGGTCCGACCACGGAGCCAATTCCCCAGCCAGCAGATCGTGGTGAAGCTGCAGCCACAGTTGGCCAGTTTTGCTAGAAGGTGATCATGGGATACCAGATAGAAGGCTTTTTTAAAGTCAAAATATGCAACATCAATGATAAATGTCTTCAAAGACCAGAAAGGCTGCCATACAGAAAACTCCCTTGGTCCAGAGCATAGGATATGAAGCAATGGCTTTAAATTTCAGTGAAACAGGTTAAGATTATAGCTCAGTTTAACTTCCTTACTGTTAGTATAGTAAGGGAGTGGAATAGACTGTACTGGGAGGTTGTGGATTCTCCTTCATTGGGGGTTTTCAGAGAAGAGATTGCATAAGCTTTGGTCAAGGACAGTTTAGGAATGGCATTCCTGCATTTGATCAGAGGATGGCAGCAGATGGCCCTTGAGATCTCTTCCTATCTTATGACTAGAGGAAGCTGGAACAGATCCCCCACATCCCTGTTGGATGCAATCAGCCTTGTCAATGCACTTGCAATTCTCACCTGCTATTAGCTGTCACCCTGCAAAACAAGATACCTGTGTGAAGTGATTGGAAATGCTTTTAATATCTGGTGTGGTGAATTTCCATGTGGTGAGGCTCCCAAATGGCAGCTTCTTCCCAGTATTTATTGATTAGGTACCTGGAAGGCAGGAGCACAGATATTCCTTGGTCTGTGCCTCCCTGTATTCAAAGCCTGCTGCTTCCAGCTGGGTAGAGGTGTTGCCAGAGGAATTTCTGGATCTCCTTCCAGGAATGCTCCTGTGCTGCAACATGGGACTGGGCTTCCCCTCCCCATACCACAGGCCTGAAGAAAAAGAAGCTCCATGAGTGGTGGCAGAAAGGTGATCCTGGCGGCTCAATCAGGTGTCCGGGACCTGGATAGCAAAGCATTCTGTAGTTCTTTCTTCCATGCCTCCTCATCCTCTCCATCACTTTCTCGGCAAATGCTTTGCTGTTGTAGTTCCTGTCATTCTCCCCCACAATGAAGAGGATTTTGGCCTCGGTTTGTTCTACAGGTAGGATGCTCTCTTGACTTTCTTCAGTGTGAATGACATCAACCATGTTAGAGAGTTCCATTAGTCCCAAGGGTGTGAACCTGATGCATTCTATCTTGTAAGGGATTGGATTGATGTGCAGATTCCGGTAGCGGAGCGGCATCCCATGGAGGGCATGGGTTGAGTTAATGGAAACTACTGCTTTGATGTTGGGCAAAAATGATGCCATGGCCAGTGCAATCTCAGCACCTTTGCATATTGAGACCAAGCCAACCCCCGGCCCTCCTACCTACAAACACCAAAGAGAAATGGGTTAAGGATTTTTCAAAAATGCACCCCTGAACTGTGCAAGGCAGTATGCAAAATTGCACATGCACGTACATGCCATATAGTTGCAAATTACCAATTAGCTACATGCAAAGGTACAGTCTTGCACTTGGACCCGGCACATTCATGCAGATAAACCCACAAAATTGTGAATATTAATCCCAAACAACCACCTTTCAAAATCCTTCTTCAGAAAAATGAATGAATTCCCCATTTTTTACTAGTTGAATGTGGCTGTGATAATTATCTGGGGAACTAGTTCTGCCCCATTTCCCCTGCAGTGCACATGTCAGTTGTACCTGTGCCTTTTGACAGCTAGGCAGACTTTGATGGCTGTCTTGACCCTACTTCCTTCCTTAGTCACAGTATGTAGTACTGGGAGAGAGTCAAGTCATGAGCTTTGTAGCTCTGTTTTCTTACTGGCCTGCTCTATGGTGTTGGATAGGGGTCAGGTCGGCAAACTACAGCCCATGGAACTGTGCTTTGGTGGCAATCTGTGACTGGAGGCTCTGACCACACCACAGCCAGTCAGTGGAAACTTTGGTGGGAGTGGGGGGATGCTCTGCCTGTTCCATATCACAGTGGAGCAGTGGGGGCTTTGGCAGAATGCTAAGCTCCACCCACACCACACCTGGGTAGCAGGGAGAATTAGAGGTGCTAATATCTGCCTATTCAGACCCAAGTTGAGTCATTCCTGCCCACTGCCAAAAAAGGCTGCCAATCGGGAATACAGTAATCTATGGAGAAGGCCATTTATGAGAGAGAGTCTACCAAAGACCGAACTCAGCTAGAGGAGAATGAAGCACTGTATGTGGCCCTCATTGTCCTCCCTAGGAGGTGGGGAATGCCCTGTTAATGATCACAGGAAGAGTGTGAAGGGCGACAGTCTGCAGAGGTGTTTTGGCTGAGTCCAGCAGTGGTTGGGCTAGGGGGAAACGAGGGTGAGCTTATCTGCGAATGGAATGTACCTTGGGGTGTCTCAAGAGGATGTTGACGGCTTCCTCAAAGTATTCCAGATCCACCTCAACTAGCATCTCAGGCAGGTCTTCATAACCAAAGTACGCCAGGGCAAGTGCAGCGAAACCACGACTGGCGAGAAGACTGGCTCAAAATTCAATGAGTCTACCCACACTGCCGAACAGGTCAATCAGTCCTGAGAAAGGACCTTCTCCTAAGGAGATGAAAAAGAAACCAGAATGAATGACTCTGTCTGAGAGAGGCAAGGTTGGGAGTCCTTCCTAACACCTCACAGGACTCAGATTCATAGATGTTAGGGGCTGGGAGAGACCTTACAAGATCATGGAGTCCAGCCCCCCCTGCACTTGAGCAGGAAAGACTCTACTTTTCTGTTCTTACCCCATGAAGGCAATTCCTGGAATTGGAGATGAATTCATCTATAAGCCAGACACAGCATCAGAGAATCATCTAGAAACCAAGGACAAGAACCTAGCCTACTAATGAAAAGTGGGGCCCAGCAGAGATGGAATTTAGTTCCCTGCTACACTCTCATCTACCAGCTCCACCCTGATGCAAACAAGGCTCTTCTATATTAGAGAGTGATGATGTGTGTGACTGAGTCTCTACCTTGATGGCTCTGCCCTTTCTAACTCCAAACTGGATAAAAAAGACCCAAGGACCATTGTGCCACACCTTCTTTTGTAAATATTATTGTCATCATCATTTAGATTTAAGTCCCAACCTTTCTAGAAGGGTTCACAACAGCCTCAAACAACCCACAATATAAAGAAACAGCAACAGACTCCCCAGTCAATACCCTAAAACTACAGATTCCTCCTTGCAGTACAGAGTTTATTTCATTAAATAATAGAATGTATTCTAAGAGATTCCCTGCTTGCCACAGATAAATTGCAGAGAATGGCATCTGCGCTACCACTTCATCAGCTTTAGTTCTCCAAAAGATTTTTTCATTTGACATCTACCAAGCTTGGCCAACAAACACTCCAAACTTCAGCTTCCTGTTTCCTATTTACAGCACTCACCTTAATCACCCTCTAACCCCATAGCCCCTCTTTCAAAGCACCTTTATGTCCGAAAAAACACCAAGTTGAGCATTCAACAAGAGAGACCTACCATTGGTTCCCAGCTGTGGACAAACCAGGGAACTCTGCTAAATGTAAGTAATTTGTTTCATAATACCCAAAGGATTCAATCAGGTCTGTGCCTTTGCTGCCAGTACAAAGCCACAAATGCAGAGTTAGAATTAGTCCTTGCCTACTACAGTTGAGAGAGTTGCGCTCTCTCAACACATAATGCAATAAAACCAAATCCAGGGAAACTCCCAGATTTGTTCTCTGGTAGTACATGTAAAAGCTTTTTATGTTGCCACTGAATGTTAAAGGCAGAATTGTAGAGGAGAAAAGCCTTTCCTTGGATTTCTGTTATTTTATTTATTGGCAATCTAGGCTACAGACATTCCTGCGATTAGACCATGAACTTCATAATTTTCCTAATGATGTACAGAGCTTCCTTGTAAAATTAGAACATGCTACTGTACACCATACATGGCCAATCTACAGCGTGGGTGCCACAAGAGGCATGGGCAGCCTGTGTGTGTGTGATATATGGCAGACTGAGGAGGGGACAGGACACGCACACAGTTAGATGGAACTGGGATAAAAGAAACAAAGGGAACTGGGTGAAAACATCAAGAGAAAGTGAGAGGAGTCACTTGGGAATTTGAACAAAGAGACTCTGCCGTGTGTATGTTTGCACTCCTGATCTGTGAACTTGTTTTTAGCATAGCTTCTGGAGTTCGCTGGCAGGGTTATATGTAGCTCCTGCAAACTTTAAGCAAGCCCTAGAAATTTTCTGACTAGGATTTTGAGCTCCTCAACAGGAGTGTTTTCAGTTGAAAATGCATCCCAAAAGACATATTACTAGTCAAGCAACATCACCTCACAAGATCCAGGACTCCAGTCTCAGCTAGCCAGCAAAGTTCAGGTTTTGAACATTCATAATAAACTTACTGTGGTCAAACTACTGGGGTACTGGCCAGGAGTCGTTAGGAGAAACTATTAGGCAAATAATTTGCTGTGACAACAAATACTTTGACATAACATAATTTGGAGAAGCTTGTCATCAGTAGACATTTCCTGACCCACAAAATCAGTATGTAGGCTGGATTCACTGAGCTGTGGAAATGAGATGGAGGTCTTTCACCTGGTGGGAGGAAGAGGGCCCCATGCACTCTGCTGTCACTGATCAGGATTCATTGGACTCCCGGTGCCACATGCCATCTTTCCACAGTCTGGCTTGTCACAGGCTGATCATGGGGTGTGGAAACCAAGTGGAATGAGCTGAACAAATCCAGGCTCACGTGGAATGGACTCTGCATCACATCTCGTTTCATCAACCTGTGAAACATCTTTTCTGGTTTCAGGAACTGGAAAAGACCCATGGGGTGCACGCCAGCATAATCTCCTCCCAGAGCAGCAGCTTGCTCCAAATCAACCTCACCAGCCTCATCAGACCTGTAGAAAGCTCTGGACTGGAAAAGCACCCCCTTCTCATCTGTCAAAGAGGCTTGGAGGGTCACCAGCTCAGAGGGAGCCAAGCCAGAGACATGGATTTTCACTGGTTCATCAACAAGGGATGTCCTTGGGGTGACTGTGAGCTTGGCCATTGCCAAAGCAGAGCTCTGGTAGGAAGCACAAGATAAAGGAGACAGAGAAAGTGAAATTGGGAACATCAAACATGACACAATGTGAACTGTGAGATAATGGTAGATGTACCTTATTAAATCAGGTCATCCAGTCCATCAGGACAAGCTTCCCATAATTCTTGTCAAACTGGCTTAGTTGCAAGAACATAGGGAACTTAGCTTGAAATTTTGTTTTTTGTTCCAGGAAACTTTAGCCCAGAGGGAATGTTCAGTGATAAGACAAGATGCTCAGCTGCCAGCTCCCTCCTTGGAAAGGCTTATACTGCAACTAATATTTAAACACAGCGGCCCTGGAGTTGCGAGGGCTAAACTTCCCAGGATTTACAGCAGAAGGGTTTGAGAGCCCACTGAATGGGACCAACTGTAACTCCTTTATTTCACTGGCACAACTAAACAAGTCAGGGACTGGTTCAGTAAAACTCCCATAATTTCTTCCATGCAAGGCCCCTGGAGTCACAAGCATTCATGCATTTGGTCTTGGCACTCCTGTGACGGATGGCACGATCACCAGAGAACTCTTTATGTTAGTGCAAAGGCACTAGTACAGAAGGGGAACTTTTCTGTTCCTTACCTGCTGTGCTGCCTCCAAAGGCACGTGCTAATGCCTGAAAGCAGTCATTTCAGTCCGTTAATTTTTGGTCATGTTCCAAAATGTGTATGGCATACCAGCATTGGTATTTCTAGTTCTGTTTTCAGCAGGTAAAGACAGAGCACCTAAATGACTCGGCCAAAACTATGCCACAGAACCAGAAGATAATGAATCTACTTCTGCCTCTCTATCTTTGTTCAATCTTAGTTAAGACGGGGAGGTTCCTGTTCTGGCAACCTGAACAAATTCCTTCTGTCCAGAGCCAACTTTCTCTCTCTCTCTCCAGAAGGGGTTCAGTGTGTCCCTTCTCTCCCTCTAATCACAGTATGTTCATAGCTTTTTTACCCCCTGTTCTCGTCCCCTCTCCTGCCTTTGCAGACAGCAGAAGAGCGCTGGGTCCCTGCCAACACAGGGACAGGTTTTTAAAGGTGCTACAGCTCCAGAGGTGCAGCTAGCATCGATTTCAGTAGGTATTCTGGCTCTTGGGCACCTCAGAAAATCCCACTCGGAAAACCTTTTCATTTTTAGGTCGCTGAATACCTCGCACAAATCTGGCCCTCCACACTCCACTGGAGCAGATGTGGTGTCCAGTTCCTACCTTTGCCTTCCATTCTTCACAAACAGCTCTGACTCCTATGTTCAAAAACCCTCAAGCCTGATCTGGTCTCATTACAAGTTAGTCCAGCTCCTCCTCCCCACAACATCCTTTTTTTTGTTGTTCTTTTAAAGAAATTTTTCATGTTTCAAGCCAAATCAAGTTCAAATCTGTGAGTCAGTCCAGAACCATAAATGGCCCTACAACCAACAAACATCCTCCCCCCCCACCAGGGGCTTCAGATATTTCCAGAGTCTTTCGGCAGGCATCATATGTGCAGGCCCAAGCCTGGAGGCTTGGGGTTCAGATGCCCCCAGGTTTCACCTGCCCTCAGCCATATGGCTGCAGAAGCAAGCTAGGGAGGAACCTCCCATTTCCATAAAGTGGGCTTTAAGCCCCAACACCTCAGCGGGTACTAAACCACGCCAGAAGAACAGTTATCCGTGAGTACACTTAAGTAAAACTGCCTTCATGGCCCCAGATACTTGGTGTTTTCCCTGCCAGGTAAAGTAAGCTTACCACAAGGATAGGTTAGTGCAGCCCATCTGAATAAGAGTTAACTTGTCAGGCTGAGGGGTAGCTCTGCAACATCAGGAACACCCTACCTACCTGAAGACTCCAGGTTTCTCTTGAGCCAGAGAGGGTCAAGCAGCTTCTGAGCAAATGGGGGAAAGGCTACCACACCAGCAGGGGCAAACTCCTATTTGCCATACTGCCTTCCAAACTCCCCTCCCTTTTCCATAGTTCAGTTTCCTCCCTTCTGTCACCCGAACAGAAGGAAAGCAGGAAGCAATAGGGCAAGTAACAAAAAGAGGAGGGTTTCAGCATAGGAACAGATAACTGTATTGGGTAACCCTTTCCTTGCCAAGTAGTAATTTTGCGGGGCAAAGAGTGTACATTGTTCCTGAGAGCTTTTCAGCAAGGATCAGCAGTGTTGCAAACACCTATACTTCTGCCAGAGATCAGGAAGCAGAGGATAAAGAGGGTGAACTGAGAGGCCCATGCATACTTAACCATGTAGTACAGAACACAATGCTACGATTTAAGCAGTTAAATAATAATCCATCAGGTTACAGAGTGCAATAAGTGAAACAAGCTTTCTCAGTACTGGCAAGGATCCTTGGTCACTTGCTGATGGATCCTTCTATCCCTTGGTTCTGACACCTCCCAGGATTGCTCTGAATGTCCCCTTTTATCTCTTTCCTTACATGCTTTCCCCTCAACTAACCATGATAATCATGTCAGTGTTAGCGCATTAACAAACCCTCTTATTTCAACAGGATTCTAGCTCACTTCATACAATTCACTTTTTTAACATAAAAAAACAGAACATGAAGTTACTATAGGCAATAGTCTTAAATACTCTAAGTACTTTCCAAAATGCAGCCATTACCTGCAGCCATAACTTAGTGTTGCAGCCTTAACTAACAGTGTTGCAAAGAGCTTTGCTATCACCAGGGCTCCTAACAGGTGTATTGAGAAAGGGGGCTTCAGACTCCTTGCAGTAATTATGGACCTGCCCCTTGTTTTGAATAATCAAGCTAATGTATAGCTCTGGTGGTACACAGAGGAAAGCACTGTGGGCCCTATAAGGTTTGACATAACTCAATCTTTTTAAAACACAGGTTCAATTTTGCAGCTGGCACAATTCAGCCCATCCCTCTGGAAAATTTAATGTTGCTTAGCCCACCTTACATGGGTCTCAGAACAGTTTTAGGCATTTGGGGTTAAAAACCAAAGACCTAGTCCCATGGCAGGGACATTAATGACTTCATAATACTTGTGTAGAATTAAGATTTTCTATTGCATTTTTCTGGCATTCAGGATGTGCCACATACCTGCTGTACTTTAGCTCACCTCCTCCTAAGGATGACTTAGCTGTGATAGGAAACCCAGAATTATTTGTACATCATTTAATACATAAAGATGCCCTTTGAAATAGGAGAAACCTTTTGGGATTTGCTCACTTCCCTATCTGTCCTCATACAAGTTACTTGCAAACTCAATCATAAGGCAAAGACTAGGGGTGCACCAATAAAGATTGTCTTGGCCAATACTGATGGCCAATTATTAACCAACCATATCGGCTTCTGCCAATCCGATAACCAATATTTGGTAATAATGCAAAGCATTTTAAATTACTGACATAAATAAACCTCTTTTTTTTGTTTTATATTTATAACATGCATGGGAATGAACTTTAGTTGAAGCACCTCCACCACCATTTCTAAGCGCGGGGACGCTGATCCAGAAGATGCAGTGGCACTTTAATTAAAGCAAATCTTGAAGCCGCTGTTAGTAAAGCATTGCCTCCCCCACTCCTGAAGCACATGTAAAAATGCCCGTGCCAGTTGCAGCAGGTGGGGGTAGCCTAGAAATACCTGTGACTGCCTGTGCAGAGCCTTTCAGTCCCTGTTCTTTTGATTTATACCCTTAAACCCAAGCTAGGGGCAGCTGCCTGAGCCTGCCCAGTAGGGCTGAAGGGGATGGTGTAAGCCAGGGGTGGGCAAAATGCAGCCCGCAGGCCATATGTGGTCCACCAAGCCATTCTATCCGGCCCGTGGGGCCCCCTAAAAGTTTAGAAAATATGTATCTGCCCCTGGCTGCCTGTCATGCGGCCGTCGATGGCTTGTTGAAATTCAGTAAGCGGCCCTCTGCCCAAAATAATTGCCCACCCCTGGTGTAAGCCTTCCTGGCTGCCCAAGACTGGGTGGTCTCTGGACCAGGCTCCCTGCTCTCCTTCCCCTGCCCAAGGCAGGTCTGCAGGACCATTCTAGGCTTGGAGAAACCAAGCCACTCCTTCCCCACAGCTGGGCCCAGGCTCCTGGGAACTGGACTCCGGTGGGAGAAAGGCCCCTTCCCATCCTCGTGCTGCTGCTGCCAAGGGCAGGGCAAGACCCTATGTCCCATGGGAGATACTGAACGGACCCTGCTCTGGGTAGGGCAGGACCTAGCTGGGCTGAGGTGCTGAGGGAAGGACCCTGCTGGGCACAGCAGTGGGAAGGAGGCAAAGTGGCTGCTTCAGCCCCACCAGGTTCTGCCTCTGAGGCACAGACCCCCAGGCACTGCAGGTTGTCACACTGGGCAGCTCTGCTTGCCTCTCCCCACTGCAGTCGCATCTTTCCGGCATTCAGTGTCTTTTATGTTGCCCACCCTGGCCCCAGCCCATAATCTGTGCTGTGCCAGTGCCCGGGACACAGCAGCAGCTGCTCCGCTCCAGCCCAGCCCACTGAGAGGGTGGCGGTGTATCCGGGGTCACCCTAGCTCATGGGAGGGAACTCAGGCATATGGAGCCCCAGGCCCACAGATGAGACAGAACGCATGCAGCGAGGGACCCTGGCCCCATGGGTTAGAGGGAACCCAGGTTGCCAGGGGCCAGGCCAGAAGGCATAATTATCAGACATTAGTAGCTACAATGGTCAAAAAAAAAAAATGCCGATGGCTGATAATGTCATTTCCCTTTTATTGGTGTCAATCCAATAGGCACCTCTATTTAGAACTACAGCAGGGGCAAAAGGGCTCTGCACAGCCAGTCACCGGCACAGCTAGCCTAGCCCTGCCTGCTCCAACTGGCACAGGCACTTTTATATGTGACCTGGGAGTGTGGGGGCTGTGCTTTAATTAGACTGGCTCTGAGAGGTAGTCTAATTAAAGTGCCACTGCATCTCCCGTCTCAGTGTCCCCACACATAGAAATCATGGTGGGGGCACTTGAACTATAGATAATTTGTATGCATGTTATAAATGTAAAACAAACAAAAACAACAAAAGGTTTATTTATGTCAGTAGTTTAAAATGCTTTGCATTATTACTAAATATTGGTTATCAGATCAGCCTCTATTTATTATCTAAGCATCCTGAGAACTATCCAGTAGCATCAACCCCTTTCCCACCTCTCATGGATGATGAGCAAGTCCATATATTTGGAATTTGCTGGATCCCTTCTATTTAAACAGTTTTTTCTAGGTGTCATTTACAGATTAAGATCTGACAAGGTCTATGGACATTTTTCACACTTCCTTAATATGGAAGAGTATTTTACAACTTTGTCACTCATTCCACCTGTCCACATAGAGCCTAAGTATTTCTGTGAAACTCTCAGTCACTGCAGGGGAACTCTGGAAGTCTTCATGGTCAGTAGGGTCGGAAGGGACCTGAGCAGATCAAGTCCATCCCTCTGCCATGGGCAGGAAAGAGTGCTGGGGTCAAACAACCCCAGCTAGGTGATTATCTAGCCTCATTTTGAAGACCCCCAGGGTAGGAGTGAGCACCACTTCCCTTCGAAGTTGGTTCCAGATCCTAGCCGCCCTGTGAACTAGTTCTTCCTGATGTCTAGCCTGAACCTACTCTCAATCAACTTGTGGCGGTTATTCCTAGTTACTCTTGGTAGTGCTCGGGGGAACAGGGACTCTTCCGTTCCCCGCAGGTCCCCCCTGGTAATTTTATAGATGGCCACCAGATCCCTTCTCAGCCTTCTCTTGTGGAGGTTGAACAGGTTCATGTCCCACAGCCTCTCTTTGTAGGGCCCATCCTGCTGCCCCCTGACCATGCGAGTGACCCTCCTCTGGACCCTCTCAATGCTGGCTTCATCCCTCCTGAAGTGCGGTGCCCGGAACTGGACGCTGTACTCCGACTGCGGCCTGACCAGTGTCACATAGAGGGGGAGGATCACCTCCTTGGACCTGCTCGTGATGTATCTGTGGATGCATGACAAGGTGCGATTAGCCTTTCTGACCGCATCCTCACATTGGTAGCCAATGTAAATCTTGGAATCAATAATAACTCCAAGTTCCCTTTCTGCCTCTGTGCCAACGAGAAGGGAGTTCCCCAACCCATAGGTATGCTGCTGGTTCTCTCTCCCTAGGTGCAGTACCATGCAGTATTGAATCCCATCCTATTCTCATCTGCTCACCCCTGTAACCTGTCCAGAACCAGTTGTAGCCTGTCCCTCCCTTCTATCGTGCCCACCTCTCCCCACAACTTAGTGTCATCTGTGAATTGGAACAAGGTGCTTTTTACCCCCTCATCCAAGTTGCTGATAAAGATGTTGAACAGTACGGGCCCAAGGACCGAGCCCCGAGGGACTTCAGTGCCCACATCCCTCCAGGTCGAAAATGACCTGTCTACCACCACTCTCTTGGTGCAGCCCTCCAGCCAGTTGGCGACCCATCTGACTGTGTAGGCATCAATACCACAGTTGCCTCTGGGACAAGGATTGGTTCTAAAGGCTGGGTCGCGAAGTGGGGCTGGGCATGAGCCACAGCTGGACAAGGCACCCACCCCACCTCACAGGCCAGTGGCAGCGACTCTGGATGCGAGTCAGGCCCTTGCTGTGGATCGCCCCAGCTTGTTCTGAGAGACAAGAAAGAAAAAGAAACAGATGGAAATAGGAATTATTTAGGAATCTTAGGGTAATCATACTGAAAATATGGTACGTGCCATGTTCAGACTAAAGCAGGAAATAACTTTAGTGTACAGCTGTAGCCCCCAACCCTTTTAGACTCAAGGCAACCCTAAGAAAATGTTGGGGGGAGTTTTGCGAAACAATAGTAGACCAATTTTTCTCTTGCAAAGAACTCAAGAAGGCCACAACAGTTTAGAATGTTTTAAGCATTATGGATTCGTGCTTGAAGTCTCTGGGTTTATATTGTGCATCGTGCTTGCACACATAACAACAGTGCTAACTAGCATTGTGTGGCACCTTTTAGTACCCTTGAAAGGATCTCCAGGCACCCAAGCTGACAATCACTGGCATATGGGATGGGCTGTACCTCAGTGGAACGTGCGATGGACACAGAGCTCCCAGGAGAACTTGAGAAGTTACAGTAAGGTTAGAGAGTGCTGCTGTAGCTATAACAGTCCAAGAAATATTTAAGCAGCAAAGGTTTTTTGGGTGATAGCCACACAGTTCAGAAAGAGGTGACACCAATCAGATACATGCTCAAGCAGGTCCACAATGAGCCTTTAAGCTAGGCAATACAGAACAAAACAAAAGCACCCATTTAAACCAGCATTAGTATTTCACCATTGCCTTTTATTTTTCATTTTCTTACAAACTATTTGTTCTTGTTCGTTTATGCATCTTTTTGATGGGATATTAAGAGCACAGGCTATCACTACCTGCCCTTCACACCTACAAGATGAATGAGGAGACCCACTTGCTACTGAACTGAGTGACAATCATATTAAGCAGCCACTCCAAGAACCAGCAAATGCAGCTGCACATGACAGGGAGGGACTCTTTCCTAGACGTTTAATAATGTTAACCTGAAAATCTTAGTAATACTGTAAAGTGTTAACTTCGGCCATGGCTGTTGAAATCGACTATACACTGGCCAGGAAAAATTCAGTCAGTGTCTTGTATTACTCACAAAACCTGTTTTTAGGGGCAACCCAACTACATTTCAAAGGTAGTACAGTCACTTTGAAATGTATTAATCCTGGCAGCACACACATCTGCATCCCCATCCAGAGAAGGCTGACCAGGAAGAGAGCAGAATAAGACTTTCCTTACCCCACTTCCAGCATCTGCTGGCCGTGGTGCAAGTGATTAAAATTATGTAACCGTCAGAAACGCTGCCCTCGCTGTCGAGGAGCATGTTGGACCTCGCCTCAGCTGTGAGGAGCACAGAGCCACTATGCAATGTGGATCCTGCCAAATGACATTTATGGGGACACGAGGAAAGAAAACGCTGAAGTTAGTCCCTCCTGTTAGTAATTTTATTACAACAAAACTGTTGCATAATGAAGCGTCAGCACCCTCTAAAAATGAAGTCATAAAAGCCAACTTCTGACAGAGCCAGTGTACGCTAAGGTCATTGCTGCCTTGCCCCTGCCACACAAGTCTCCCCTGACGTCAGGCCAGTCAGCGCTGCTCCCTGCTGGTAGGGCTCAATACTCCCAAGTGATCTTGAGGTTCGGCGGCAGCTCCCCTGCGCACAGCTCATCAAATTTCGATCCGTCCTTGACAGGGATGCTGTAGAAGTCCAAGACGTCCTGGGCCGTGCGCATCTGGTGGAGTTGTGAGTTGGGGACAGCGTGGCCCAACTCGGCAGCTAGCTGCGCTAGGAGGTTGTACCTGAGCCCGAGGTCCCCGAGGGGGGTGTGCTGCCAGTCAGCAGCCAGCGCAGGCCCCGCCAGGGCCCGCACGCGGGCCTTCAGGAGACGGGACAGGTTCTCGGGGGGCACGTACTGCCTGCTGCGCGGCGGCGGGCACGCCAGGTCGGGCTCCGCGTCCTCGGGGGTGGCGGCGTTGGCCTCGGCCTCCTGCTTCCTGCGGGAACCAGAGGCAGAGCGCGCGATTGTCACGTCTTTCGCGGTCGCTGGGGCTGGGGCTGGGGCTGGGGCTCCCAGCTCGCTCGCCCTCCCTCCCAACTCTCACCTGCGGCCGCCCCACAATGCCCCGCGCACCGCTGCCACCCGCCGCATCAGCGCCGCCGCCATCTTGGAGCCGGCAGAAAGCCCGCTCCGCTTTACCCCGGAAGTAGCTGCGCCACCGCGGCACACTCTGGGAGAGGGGAGACTGGGTAGACTGTGGGGGGAGGGCTATTGTTGCCATAGGAGCGGGCCTCCATCGCCCCGCCCAGTCTCTGTCTGGAGTTGTCCCCCGGTTGCCAATCAATGGTACTCCGCCCTTTTATTGTGACGTCATGGCTCGGCGTCGGCTCTTCGGCCCGCGTTGAGGCGCTCTCTGTGTTGTGCGCAGGGGCGGTGGGGGGCGGGGAGGTGAAGCTGTTGTAGGGGGATGAGCACGAGGTAGCGCGGAGTGGAGACGTTCGTCCTTCGTGCAGCGAGGCCATGGCACCCTACGGCGTCTTGGCATCCTTTCAGAGAGGCCGCGGTGACGGGCAGGGCATGCATATGCGCATGAGCCACTAGCCAGTTTGGCGAAGGAGCTGTCGTGTAATCCAGGCTCCGGAGGAGAAACATCGGGTGTTTGTGCTCGAAAGCTTGCACAATTTTAGTTGGTCTAAGACAAGACATCACGTTTAGCCAAAGAGCCATGTGTTTAAGCCAACACCCCCTCATCTAGGCTGCGGCCTCTGAGGAGGAACAATCGCCTGTGTATCAACAGGCTTCTCAGACTTAACTTCACAGCAAGACCTTGTAAAGGACGAGCAAACAAACTGGGCTTTACCGCACGTGCAAACTGCTTCACAAGATGATAAACCCGTGTGGCGGCTGGGCCGGTTGGCAGAACAGCCCCGTGGCCAGGAATTTTAAGCACTCAAGGCTGACGAGCCAGTAGTGTGAGGGAAAGGGGTTTTATTTGAAAGTGCCCTTGGAGAGGAAGAAAATAAACCAAAATAAATGCCTGATAGAGTAACTTCCCCCCACCCACCTCCCAGTGACACGGGGTGAAGGGGGAAAGAATGGAAGAGGCTGAAAACAGATGCATTTCTGCTAAACCTTTAACCGCAGTTGCTTGGTTCTGTCAGTTCCCTACTTTGCCACTACCTCTAAAGCTACACAGGCATTCCTGACATTTCTAGGGTGAGAAACGGGGAAAAAACCAAAACAAAAACAACCTTGAGAAATAAAAAGCAGGAAACACTCCTTCCAGCATTCTTCCTCCTACACAGACAGAAAGAGCATTATAGACTGCAAGGCAGTAATTCGCAACCTTTTTAGATTCAAGGCACTCCTTGTTAGACTCAAAGCACCCATCAGAAAATGGTAATTTCCAGTTTTTACTTGGTTTTTTACTACAGAAAAATAATACAGCAATTCTTTTGCAAAAAACTCAGACCACAAAAGGGTAGCATATTTTTAACATTAGGGATCCCTATCTTTGGGTTTATCTTATAAATCGTGTTTGCCATATTGGAAGAGATACTTGGGGAAGGGCATGATGGGAAATGGCTCCTACTGGAACTAGACTGGGGTGCCTTGTGCAGTGAACATTTGTATCAGAGGCAAGGAGCTCTGCCAGAGGCAGATCAGGAAAACCTGCATTCTCACTCTGAAAGTACCCCTAACAGAAGTGGTTTGCTGACATTGGGTGCCAAATCAGGGCCATCACTTCCCATTCCACATGCAGTTGATCTGCTCTGATGCACATTCTTCTGGGCATCTCAGCTCCCTTAACCTTAACTCCCCAGTACTGCCAGTCCTGAGCCAGGCTGCCTTGTATGCTATAAAGAGGTGGTTTGAAAATAAAAAAGCTTTTGTAACTTGCCACCCTCTTTGTTTTCATTCGCATAAATAATCCAGCATCAAACACCCGGCAAACTAAAATGCAGGCGAGCATCCTAACTGCCCGGCAAAAGAATTATTCTCCTCTGCCTACTGTTTGGTACAATAAATGTTTAAGTAGCATATGTATAGTTGAACAACTTAATCCAGAGAGATGAGAAGCCCCTTACTAAAGTACCGTATTATAGCCTTCATATGGGAGCAGGGCCATTCCTAGTGGGGTCAAATCAGCTGATATACACTGGGCCTCACACACCCCTAGGGACAATGCCTGGGAGATTGTAGGTTCAAACCCCAGTAGACAAAGGAGTTGAACCTGATTCCAGTTCATCATGGGTGAGAGCTATAGCTACTGAAAGAAATGAAGACAAATAAGTGGGCAGCTTGGTGACAGGTTTTTTTTCAGCCAGTATTATTTGGTGAATCTGAGCAGAATTGATAAGCCATTTCTGGATGGCCAACACTTAACATCTGTAGCTATGTGACCAGAGAGCTAAGTGGGATGAGTTCTAGCCCAGAGGTCTTACAGGGAACACTTGAAGGGTTTGCTGTGAGCACACAGCTACAAATAGTTTTAAAATAGGACATCTAGATGCACTTGTTAAGTCAAGGGAAGATATCAGTCTGGGCCTAGCAGCAGGCCCAGGAGCCTGCTCTCTGATTGGTTCCCCTTCATGTTTCATTGGATTGGGTGGGTCTTAGTTACCAGATTTATTCCATAGTTTTGTAACCATTTTGTTGCAAATGTGGCCCAGTGTGCCTAAGTTAAAAAGGAGGCTCTGAGGGAGCTGGGGAATTGGGGGAGGGTCATGGAGAGAAAGGAGTCATCTCAGGGAAGACAGAGAGAGATAGAGTAAGCAGAAGTCTGAGCGAGGACAGGGAAAATGCAAAATGCGGCAACACAGTAAAGGCTATTGGAAGCAGAAGAGTCTTCTGTCTTCTGTGCTGTTTGGGGTGTCAGCAGCCTGATATCCCCCTTCCCCTGCATACTTTGAAGAGGCAAACCCCTTTTCTCAGGAACTGATCAAAGAAGGAGCTCTTTGATTTTGGGGGTGCTATGAAGAGCCAGGGACAGAGGATAACCAGGGTCTTCAAACCAGGGACTTGCTCCTCAAAGAGCCAATGTCTGGACTACAGAAGGGTTCTTAAGGAGGGGAACAGGACAAGGCTTCTTTCTGGGGAGCCCCAAAACAGAGTTTTCCTTGAAAGAAGCTGAGCTGTGATGAGTGAATTTAGTATTCATCAATAAACTTCTATATAGCTATAGCTTAGATACCACAGTGACTACTGTTCACCATTTCCTTCAAGCATTCGTAGTTTCAACAGAGTAAAGAATTTGACTAACTGACCACAAAACTTACATGAGTCTAAGCTAATGTCACCTTCCATTAGCATCGATGCAAACAGGCCAACATATATCAGCGGTGGAGCTGGTTCTGAGGTTGTGATGGTGTTTACCCTTCTTTTGTGTTTGCCTTCTACACTGGTCTAATGAATTAGTTTTATGGCAGGAATGGTCACAAAAAGGTCACTATAGACTAATTTTGGAGAATATTTTCAGCAAGCACATTTTTAATTTCTAAATTAAGAACATTTGCTTTGGAAATCCCAATTGTTCCAGTCTGAAAACAGAAATATGCCATTAATGCATTGCTATGTGCCACGGGACTTGGGTTTATTCAAAACATCCTTCAGGTATCTTATACCAAATGCTTTTGTAAGATCAAGAATTATTTGCAGAAAAATGTTTGAAGAATAAATGTAATTAATAAATACATTTGAGAATGCTGAAAAGCTGCTGACAAAGGACTGGCTCAGGCCCCTTGTTAGGGCTTCTTGTAGGGCCAGTCAGCAGTCACTCAGCAGTCAGCAATCACTCCCAGCTTCTCAGAGCACATGCCCCAAACACACAGCCCACCAGACACTCAGCAAACCAAAGGCACAGGCAGCTGGATCACTTACCTTCCCTGCACAGGATCTGGTGCCGACTTCTCTCCCCCATCCTCTTTTGGCCCCCAGCAATTGTAATGTAACCCTTGCCGACACACTAGGCCGGGCAATGTGCTGGATTCTGGATCCTCAGGGTGCCAGTAACCTTGGGACCCTCCCTTAGGTAAGCCTGCTAACTGAGGTGTCCCTGGGGAGGGTGGTCCCTCACCCTCACTTCTCAAGAACCTCACTATAAGCCCCACTAAGAAAAAAGGGGTTTTCTTTATATACAACTATATACAAGAAGGGGAAAATGGATTATAACAATAACATGAAATATATATATATATCAATAGTAAATTATTAGAAAGAAATAATAATTTGACTATTATATACAAATACAGAATTAAGAAAACTTACAGCAGGGGTGGGCAAAATGCGGCCCAGGGACCACCAGCCCACAAGGCCCTAAAAAATTTAGAAAATTAATATTAATCTGCCCCTGGCTGCCCGTCATGCGGCCCTCGATGGCTTGCTGAAACTCAGTAAAAGGCCTTCTGTCCAAAATAACTGCCTGTCCCTGACTTACAGTCAACTGTCTCACTGATTACATTCTCCTGGTTATAAACTTTGAAACAGTTTCCCCCTGGGGTTAAAACCCACACCCTCACACCCCCCTTGCAAATAAAGAGAAACACGGTGGTTGTGGTGGTCCACCACTAGGTGGCACAAATGCGCTGTAGCTTCACTTTAGACACAGGTCTCCCTTCAGCATAGTTCTCTGCTGAGGTCCATGAGGCAACAGGTGGCTTCTTCTTGCACAGCCTGGAATAAATTGTCTGCACACGCTCCCTGGTTAAATGTTTCCCCACACCTGTTCCCCACGAGTCTAGTGCTTCTTCAGGCAGTCCTCTGCAATCAGTTCCCCTCCTGTTGCTTACAAGGGATCCCTTTTCCCAGCTCAGACAGGGAACTT